ATCCTATAATTTTAAACGAGCAATTCTTGTATATAAAAAAAAAAAAAAAATATATATATATATATAAAATAATATAATCGTAATCTCGGAAACGGCTTCAACGCTTTTCATAAAATTTAGTGTCCAGGGAGTTTCGGGGGCAATAAATCGATCTAACTAGGATTTATTTTTAGAAAATGTCTTTTTTGTCCGTGTTTTCAGGGAATGAAAAACTGCTACAATATAAGAAGGTAAATTTTGACACTGTGTTATTGATCGTAATAGCTCAAGTGGATATGGAGCGGTCGCGAAATCTTGTGAGAAAATCTAATATTTCGTAATTGCACTCATGATTTTTTATTCAAATAACCAGTTCAGTTTTTTCTATTATGTCAATAAGATCAAAAAGTATTATTCATCACTATGTAATTTGTATCCAAATATAATTAAAAAAAAAAAGGTCATCCGGGTACTTTCTAATTATGACACCATAAACGAAACCGACTAAGCGCCGTCGGTTTCAATAGTATATAATAATCTACGACTAAAGATCTGTGGATTAATTTAATATTATCATTTTAAACTATCAACAGAATTAATGAATAATTATTGAATAAATAAATTTAAGGGAACGGGGTTCCCTTAGATTAAAATGATATAAGGCACTACCAACGGCTTTCAATTACTCTAGTGAATATTCATTATTCCGAAAGACTCCTAAAAGAACTAGGTTACTTAACAAACACAACGTAAATAAGGGTCCTAACTAAGACGATCACGCTATAAATATTACAAACGGCCTTTTACTAAACTTTTTGAAAGATCATTGGGAAAGATCAAAATATAATTCGTTTATTCTGGTTACGGTAATTTAATATTTTTTATACGGCCACTTTATACAATATTAAATAAGATAATAGTTAAAGATATAGTTAAAAAGGGGTCAAATAATATAAGAGATCTCTTACAATTTGTAGAATAATATCTGAAACTGCATGCTTTGCTTACCATATTCATGTGGCGGCGCAAGCGAAACACACCGAAGCTTAAATCACGCTATCTACATTCCGAATTATAATATATAGAACGTCTCCGAACTATCGGAGCTTTGGCCGCTCCCCGGGCAGAACACCTTGCCCGGCGGGAGATCTCCCCTTTTCCTTCATCGGCCACAGTGGTGACCCCGACGTGATCTGAACACGCAACGACAAACAACCTTCGGAAACTACAATTTCAAGCTTCATCATCATCCTCAAGAACCCCTACCATTCACTTCTGCAGTCTTCAGTTCCTGCAAGCCAGTCCAACTTCTCTTCATCTCGACTCACCGCAGATTTATAAGGCAGACTTCTGGCACTTACTCCGGCATATCATTCGCACCGGTGTCACTTGCCCTTACGCACACACCGGCATTAAAAGGACACACCGGCAATCGGACTGCACTATCGACCTCCGGTCTGAGCAGGGGGGTGATGTGGCGGCGCTGTCGTCGCGCCGCAAGCAAAACACACCGAAGCTTAAATCACGCTATCAACATTCCGAATCATAAACAGCATATATAGAACATCTCCGAACTATCACACGGAGCGTTGGCCGCTCCCCGGGCAGAACACGTTGCCCGGAGGGAGATCTCCCCTTTTTCTTCATCGGCCACATTCAATTTATAATTTCTGTAAATTGAGTCTTGTATCGAAAAAATATACTCTTTAAATCTCTGAATATATACGGCGTCTGACCGCTAAGATCTTAGCGGACGCCGTGGTCTACATCATCTGAAGATGCCTCATGTAGAGGCGAAACACTTGTCGTATTATCGTCGATGTTGTGTCTTTCCTAGAATAGTGGTGTTGGGAGTAGTGGTGCTGGGATTAGTGGTGACGGGATTAGTGCACGCAATTGAGGGAGGGCGCGAGGTGCTTTTCAATCTAAATAAGACACATCATTGTATTTAATTAAGCAGATGGTTGCAAAGTAACTATAAATATGTAACGCCTGATTCTATCAATTATATACTCTTAAATTACTATTAACACTAAAAAGTTAATATGATTAAAAATTAAGAGGAAAGAATCCTACAAGTACAAATAAGCAAGCTATGCTTATAAATACGTTAAAAATGCTCAAAGGAAGAACCATTTTAGGGGAGAATTAGAGTCAATAGTTTTTATGAATAACACATATTATTACTTAAAATAGCTCGGACCATACCGTAGATTTTAAAAAAGATATTTCTTGCGTTAATTATTACTCTAGTCCCATGTTTGCTTGTTCGATGTTGATGAATTTATTGATTTATTTTCCACAATTTGAATGTACACAGCATAAAGAAAAGTACAAATGTTGGGGGGTGGGGGATGATCTACAATGACTGATTTCGATGTGGTTTTTTATATTTGATATTTTCCTCAAGCATGCGCCTTTCCTTTTTTTAGATTTCTTTTACAAATATTGAGATATCAAACTCTCATCTTATTCTGATCAAAATAAAATGTAGCTTAGAATAGAATAATTTTTTATTCAATATAGATTACAAGTAAGTCTTATTGAAAATCAATATTTTACGTTACCAGTGGTTCGAAAAAAAACCTCTGTCCTGGGAAGAACCAGTAAGAAACCCAGCGGGCCTTTTTTCAAAAAAAATTTACAATGTCAAGGGTCACAAAACATTTATAAAATTTATTTTAGCGACCACCTCATTCCCAGGGGTTATTATCAACCATATATTAATTTATATCACAATAACCCTTTTTATACAGTTGTTGTTTAATTAAATATTTAATCTTGGTAATAGAGAGACCTTGTATATTTTCTGGGACTTTGTTGTAATAGCGTATACATTGCCCCAAGAATGAATTACTGACTCTGTGGAGTCGAGAAACTGGTAGCACCAGCTTGTGTTTGTTCCTAGTGTTTACAGAGTGTATGTCACTTTTTTACTAAAACCACCTTTAATTTTGTGAACATAAGCCAAAGTTAATATATTTATTTCTTTAAATTTTCTCTAAGATACTCTCTCGGTTTAAGATTGTAAATGGCTCTCTTCTGCAAAACAAAAATAGTTTCTAAGTCAGCCGCATTCCCCCATTGCAAAATTCCATATGTCATTATGCTATGGAAATAACTGAAATAAACTAATCTAGCTGTCTCGACACTAGTGAGATCTCTAATCTTTTTTACATAAGCATAATTTTTTGCATAAACTGCAGAGCATAGTTTGCTTGCTAGTATAGATATATGGGGGCCCCACTGAAGCATTGAGAGTGATGACAAGAAAAACAGAGGACTCAACAGGACTCAGTTCTTCCCCATTTAAAAACACATTGGTATTCGGCTTGTTGTTGTACATTTAATACATTTAGTTTTATTGCCGTTTAAATGTAGATTATTAACGTTAAACCAATGCACTAATTTCGATATAACATTATGCTACTCAGGGATAGTGTAGCTTTTTATTTGTAAAGAATTTCGAGAATCAATTCAGTAGTTGTATGAATAACCCCCATATCTATATATCTTTGTATAATAGGGTATTTTACCCATTTTAAAAAATTGTTTTAAATGAATCATAGAGTGATAATGAACCACTATAATTTTTTTAAAACCGAATAGTGCCATAAAATTACTTTTCGAGAACCTTTCTTCACTATTTGTGTGAATATAATATCGTCACATTATCTTTAAAAAGAGATTTATTTTAGAATAGAATAGGATAGAATAATTTTTTATTCAATATAGATTACAAGTAATTCTTATTGAAAGTCAATATTTTACTTTGCCACTGGTTTGAAAAAAAAACCTCTGTCCTGGGAAGAACCAGCAAGAAACCCAACAAAATAAATTTTACAATGTCAAGGGTCACAAAATATTTACAAAATTTAATTTAGAAACAGCTTGGAAGCGACCACCTCACTCCCAGGAGTTATTATCAATCATAAAGTAAAGTAAAGTAAAGTTACAGCCTATATACGTCCCACTGCTGGGCACAGGCCTCCTCTCATTTCTGAGAGGGTTTTAGGGCAAGGAATAGTCCGCCGCGCTGCCCCAATGCGTGTGGGCGGACTTCACATGTCTTCGAAATAATTTTTTTCTTATTTCTCAGACATGCAGGTTTCCTCACGATGTTTTCCTTCACCGACGAGCACGTGGTAATTATCAATCATGTATTCATTTATATCATATTAACCATTTTTACACAGTTTTTGTTTAATTAAATAGGTGAACCCGTCATACATTAAAAAATATTGTGCCGCATAAAGGAAATTACTCTTATGATTACTAACTTGATTGTTATGATAATATCTATATATAAGCGATAATTTAAAAAAAAACGGTAAAATACGTCATAATGATAGAGATTAAACAAAATGTTAGTTTATGGTGAACAAGGATTTTTTGTGATAATTTAAATAAAACGAAATATTAAACGTAATAAGTATTTTATTATGATTCAAAATAAAAAAAACTTTTGATAAATGTGTAATTAGTCTTATAACTATGTCCAATGATTATTAATTTTAATTGTTTTACAAAATACATTATACATAGATACGTACAGAGTGCGTTTATAAAATACAACAAAGTAATTTTATTTTATTACTTTATTTAAGGGAAATATTGGAAATAAACTTTACAACAAGATATTTGAAATAAAATCAAAGTCTTGATTTATAATTGAGTTTTGATTAAACATTAAAATAATTTTGGTAATTAAAAATAAATAATTTTATAAAGGTCTTGTAAAAAGGTGATCTATAGACTTCCTCACATGAAAAAGTGTTTATATAGCTACACGCTAATCACCTTTCTATTAATTTCATTATCGCCGCGTTGTTTTCTATATTGTAAAGGGATAAATGGAATTTTTATTTTAAATTATAAGCGTTGCAGCCAGGATGAAAATGTATATCATAATGTACCATAGCTAAATCTTAACCATAATAGAAAAAATAACCGTTTTTATTTTAAAGCATATCATCGTACTTGTGTTTTCATACCTCGTTGTTTTGTTTGTGTGTTGTTGCTTACACGTGAATTCTAGCTCTCGGTAAAGTAATAGGTCTAGGAAGATCTTCAATGTCATTCAAATATTGCAAATCTTGTGAAAGTACTCTTCGTGTTCTTCTCTTACCAAGCACATAAAAACAAAATGCGAATAACGAGAGACATCCTACTAGGAGGAGAACTGATATTGTGATTGTGACGGAATTCCAAAAGCCTCGTGTGTTTTCGTTAACAAGGCTTTCTGTGGTTAATATAACTGCTGTGGTGCTGTCTGTCATGATTTCAATATCAGGTGGGCTACTGGAAGGTGCTGGTGGTATTTCTTCACTAGTTGTTCTAAATGTTGTATCTGAAAAATAACAATAATTTTGTAGTAAAAGTATTACTTAAAATAATACACATGTAATTACACACTTAACCGGTTAAGTGCGTAATTAATAAAGATTAATTTTCATAGTTAAGGTCATGAAAAAGCAAAAAGTAAAATATAAAATCCAGTTGTGTTTAAAGATAGATGGATTATTTTTAAAATTATTTTTACTTATTTCATGATATCCTGTACCAGATTTACTTATATCGTGTACGTAAATAGTGCGCTCAACGAAGAAACGCAGTTCTTTAATTACTACGGCTTTTCTTCTCAGATAATTACAACATGGGACTCTTCAAGGCATGACGAATAGGTATATTGTTCAAAAACTTTTGTTCATTTACGATAGAAAATTTATGGCTATACGCAATACTTCTATTTAATAATCAAAGCTTTATCTTCGTTAGTGGTTAATTAAAAATGTGCTATTTATAATTTAGAATATTTACCTTGTTTTGATGTTGTTAACTCAGTGTTTTCTTGATAAGTTGAAGATTCGGTAGCACTGTTTATCGTTGTGTTTGTTTGTGGTGGGGGTAATTCTGTTATAGTCGTGGGGAAAATTGTTTCAAAATCTGTTAGATTAGTTGATGTACTTGTCAATATGGTAGTCACTTCCTGTACTGTACTTGAATCTGAATCAGTTTCTTGTGATGAACCACTGCTTTCAGCTCTTGTTGAATCCGTCTCAGTAATCATAGTATTGGTAATTTCTGATGTATTGTCTATATCCGTATATGCTTTCGTAGTTATCTCGCTTGTTTCATTTGCTGTAGTATGAGTAAAAGTTATACTTTCTGTAGTAGAATTTTCTTGACTCACTTCGCCAAATGTACTTGAATATATTTCTGTCACTGTTTCTGTCGAATTTGTATTAATTAGCTCCGACTCCGTTTCTGAATCAGTATAAGTAAGTCCTTGTGGTGTAGTTGTATCGTATACATCAGTATATGCTGTCGTAGTTCTCTCGCTCGTTTCATTTGCTGTAGTATGAGTATAAGTTATACTTTCTGTGGTAGAATTATCTTGACTCACTTCGCCAAATGTACTTGAATGTATTTCTGTCACTGTTTCTGTCGAATTTGTATTAATTAGCTCTGACTCCGTTTCTGAATCAGTATAAGTAAGTCCTTGTGGTGTAGTTGTATCGTACACATCAGTATATGCTGTCGTAGTTCTCTCGCTCGTTTCATTTGCTGTAGTATGAGTAAAAGCTATACTTTCTGTAGTAGAAATTTCTTGACTCACTTCGCCAAATGTACTTGAATATATTTCTGTCACTGTTTCTGTCGAATTTGTATTAATTAGCTCCGACTCCGTTTCTGAATCAGTATAAGTAAGTCCTTGTGGTGTAGTTGTATCGTACACATCAGTATATGCTGTCGTAGTTCTCTCGCTCGTTTCATTTGCTGTAGTATGAGTAAAAACTATACTTTCTGTAGTAGAAATTTCTTGACTCACTTCGCCAAATGTACTTGAATATATTTCTGTCACTGTTTCTGTCGAATCTGTATTAATTAGCTCTGACTCCGTTTCTGAATCAGTATAAGTTAGTCCTTGTGGTGTAGTTGTATCGTACACATCAGTATATGCTGTCGTAGTTCTCTCGCTCGTTTCATTTGCTGTAGTATGAGTAAAAGCTATACTTTCTGTAGTAGAAATTTCTTGACTCACTTCGCCAAATGTACTTGAATATATTTCTGTCACTGTTTCTGTCGAATTTGTATTAATTAGCTCTGACTCCGTTTCTGAATCAGTATAAGTAAGTCCTTGTGGTGTAGTTGTATCGTATACATCAGTATATGCTGTCGTAGTTCTCTCGCTCGTTTCATTTGCTGTAGTATGAGTAAAAGCTATACTTTCTGTAGTAGAAATTTCTTGACTCACTTCGCCAAATGTACTTGAATATATTTCTGTCACTGTTTCTGTCGAATCTGTATTAATTAGCTCTGACTCCGTTTCTGAATCAGTATAAGTAAGTCCTTGTGGTGTAGTTGTATCATATACATCGGTATATGCTGTCGTACTTCTCTCGCTCGTTTCATTTGCTGTAGTGAGAGTAAACGTTATACTTTCTGTAGTAGAATTTTCTTGACTCACTTCGCCAATTGTGCTTGAATATATTTCTGTGACTTTTTCTGTCGAATTTGTATTAATTAGCTCCGACTCCATTTCTGAATCGGTATTAGTTAGTCCTTGTGATGTGGTTGTGTCTGAATAAGTTGAATCAAATGACGTCATTGTATTAGTCCAGTTTATTTCTGTACTCGTAGCATTTTCAGAGGTTCTTGTAGAAGTGAGTATTGATTCTGTACCTGTCGTCGATAAAAACTCGGATGAAGTTGTTTCGGTTTCAGTTACTTTATGTTCAGTTGTAGCATTTGTAGAAGTTTCTCCTTGCGTGATTGTTTCAGCACTCACAGTTGTTATACTTGTAGTTGTTTTCAAAACTTCGGTTGTAATAATTTCAGGTACTTCTGTAACGACTTCTGAAGTAGTTACGGAAGTACTCGTAGGATAGCTTTGTGTTGAGATATCTGTATTTGGTATACTTTGTGACATAGTTGTTATTGTATTTGTTATTTCAGTATATGTAGCTGTGGTATCTGTACTAGTGTTTTCTTGTATGTTGCTAGTCGTTGTATTTGTCATACTTCCACTAATTGTTGTTTGTGTAGAGGTAAGTTCATTTATTAAATTATCAGTACTTGTTTGATAAAATTCCGTAGTAATCTCCGTGTCTGTAATTTCCTGAGTGCTTGTCTCACTAATTGGTACTGTATAAGTAGAATCAGTTTCCATCGGTGTGGTGTAAGTGACATTTTGCGAAGTCGTGGCATCATAAGTTGTTGTTGATGTTTTGAGAGGAGTGCTTGTTTCTGTCCCTATAGCAATAGTTTGGGGCGTTGTTTCAACACTTTGAGATGTTGTCATTTCTAGATCTGTTGCTGTGAACTCTGATGTGCTATAATTGTTAGTAACTTCTAGTGAAGTGGTAGTTACTATGCTAGGGACTTCAGTTCGCGTGGTTGGGTCTGTGTTAGCTGTGTCTTCTGTTTCAGTAACGTATTGCTGAGTATTGGTTAATGTGGTAGATTCTGCTATAGACGTTATTACAGTACTATTATTTTCTGATGTTGTTGTTCCATTTTCTGTAGTTGTTTCCGTGTTAGTAGTTATAAAAATACTAGAAGTTATATCATGCTGGGTTGAACTGTTAACTGTAGATAACTCTATTGTATTTGTGCTTTCCGTTGAATCTTGCGTTGACGTAGTTGGTGTTGGTATTGTTGTGTAACTTTTCGTTGTAATTGTGACTGCAGTTCCGTCAGTTGTTGATATCCATTCTGTAGATTCTTCAGTGTTAGGTGAAAATGGTGATGAATTTAACTCAGTATTGGTTACTTCTGAATATGTTTGTGGATTTTCAGGAGTGGTACTTGTATTTAATATCAACGTGCTTTTAGTTTCTTCTGTTGTTTGTGTAGTTAGCTCTATGTTTTCATAAATAATGCATAGCTCTGGATTCATCAGCGGTGGAACGTAACGAAAAGAATCAATTAGCACTGTTGAGAAAGGTCCTGATATTCCAAAAAAAGTGATCTAAAATAAAAATTTGTCAATTATTTTTTATATTTTAACAACCCTACATTTATACATATAGTTGTATGGGCAAGAAAAGATTCATAAAATAAAAAAAAAAATACTTACAAATGCACTGTATGTCCCCAGTCCGGTTAATTTAACTGTTAAAGTATGCCATCCATTTACAAAATTAGCGTTCATTGCAGATAGTACTGCGGTTCCCACAGCCGCATCGTTTCCGCCTGGTACAATTTGATTTACTACCATGGATATTTGATCCATACTTGACAAAGACTCCATGAAAATATTTGCTTCTACTGTTCCCCCAGACGACACAGTAAATGTAAAGGATGATGTGCAGCTTAAATCATTATCTGGCGTTATAAAAAGTGTGCTACTTGGATGAGGACTTCCAATAGAAAGAGACTCATAGTTTGATATATTCCACGTTTTCATACTAGAACATAAACCTATTTCATTTGTAAAAAGGTTCTCAAAATTTTCTTGAAAATCATATACTATACAATCATCGCCAAACACTTCTACACACAAAAAGACAATTGCAATAACCCACTTACACTTTATCATTTCAGATTTGTTGAGTATCACACGGTATTTGCGGAGATTTATACAAAACTTATGGAATGTATTATATTATAATCAATAAAATGTGCTTAAGATAATCAACGATCAGATATAAATTTTCAATGAGAACAAATCACATAGTCACTTGCATTGTCAGGCTGTTTTCATAGACCTATAAACACTTCTATAATTTACTTTACTGTTTTCATCTGTACCTTTCATGGTATGGCAATTTTTAAAATGTACAGAAAAACTTTGTGTGTTTCGACTATACGCCCTATCTCTTTTAATAAAATAAGTTACATAGCAGTTATATTTTAATGACGGTTATTTGTAAAAGGGAATATTAAATTGATTAAATTATCAGCGGTTCGTTATGATCTAGATAACAATATCGATGTGAAAATTTGATTGATCATCAGATTGTCTAATTCATATTTCCATATTAGTTTCTCGCTTTTTAAATTATTGTTTTGTATAATATAGGAAATTTTTAATTAAATTAATGTTTTTACTTAGTTGCAACTAATTTTTGTGCAAGATCTCCTGAAACTAAAGAGAATAATGCCGGCACAAGTCTACTATCCATTCTATCCAATGTCTTTAAATTACGATAGTTCTTCTTCCGGATGCAGAGTACGTTAACGATAATCATATATGGGGCATATTTTTCCAAAATGGAAGCGATACCTTGTCCCTACACACCGCTAATTACATCAAAGTAGGTATAACTGTTCTTGAGAATACGTACGCATGGATTTAGCACTTTTGATATAATACTTTAATTGTAACGTGGACCTAGAAATACACTATTTTTGATAAAAACATTCAGTGAATAATTCAATCAGGCACACTAACGAATGTACCAATAGGCGAAAATAAACATAGAATAGTAGTAGTAATAGTAATAAAATAGTAATAGTAGAATCTCTTCACATAATACGTTTGATGTTTGTTGAGTGTTGTTTTAGACGTATTAGTAAATGGTATAGTGCAAGACTTCGCAACCAGTGGGACGCACCTCTGTAGGGGACGTAGAGAGATGAGAGATCAAGGCAGACGCGGAATGCTTTGCATTTTCAAAAAAAGAAAAACAAACGAGTTGGTATAAATCATAATATAATAACATATTTATTAATAGAGTCGGCTTTCTTTATGTTACACAATGCGACTTCCACAAGAATCTAATAACTATAATTCTAGAGTACCTAGAATCTACCAGTTGGTACAGAATATAGCAAACAACTCACAAGTAACACAAATATAAATAAAATTTGTTTGACAATACAAGTAATAAAAGAAAAGTAGATTCTTTGCCTTGTTAAATTGATTAAAGTATATTTTGTATAAATGAAAGTTTAAATTGACAAATATATATAAATTAGCAGGCAGACTTAGTTCTGTACCATATACTGTAATAAAGATTAGAAGTCTCACCAAGTCAATATGATCACAAGGCAGATGGGATATGCGACAATATTGAAGCTATATTTTTTTTGCAAAAGAGATACGTCGTCGTCGCCGTACGGGCGATTTATTACTTAAATTGTAAATAGTCTCTTAGAGAAAATTTTAAAGAAATAAACATATTAATTTTGGCATCGCAATATATTTATAAAAAGGTATATATATATATATATATATATGTACATAAAAACATAAAAGGCTATGATAGTAATAAAGATGTTCTTATTTTAAACACTAGGGACAAACATGAGCTCGTTATACAAGTTACTACACTTCATAGAATTAGTAATTCTATTATAGGGTAGTGCTTTTTTATAACAAAATCCGAGAAAATGTACAAAAGTTGTCAAAAAATAAGTTGAAATGATTTATTAAAGAAAAATCATACAAAAAGTTTATTATTACATCAAAGAATACGTAATAAAAATAACCCCTGGGAATGAGCTCATCGCCACCATGCATGTTCTATTAGAATTCATTTAAAAATTATACATACAAAATTATTGTAAAGTGAAATATTTTAAAAAAGTTCCGCTGGGTTTCTTGCTGGTTCTTCCCTGCACCAAGGTATTTTTAGAACCAGTGGTGAATAAATATAAACATAACTTTCCATAAGTATTATGCAATAATCTATACAGAATAATGAAGGTGGTTTTAGAAAAATAAGTGATATTCATACTAGGATCAGACACAAGCTAGTAGTACCAATTACTGGACTCTACCGAATCAGTAACTCATTTTTGGGGCGATGGATATGCTTTTACAAGTGGTAAAATTAAAAATTATGTACAATCGACTTCAATAGAAATAAAATGAGAACATCATCAATGTAGCCGTAGTCAATTGAATATGCATTATTAAGGATAACTCAAAAACTACTAACACAGCTGCTATTTTACGCTGGTGAGAGCGTGGTCCTAGCCCGGTCGAGCCGACCTATTCGTGCTATAACCGCAGCGTGGCTCTATCACGAGAGGAATTTCGGAGAGTGTGCGCAGAAATTGCATGACTTAATTTTTTCCTCTTCATCATCACTGGACTATCAGACGCTCGTCAGACATTTTTATTTTTTTATAATTTCTTTCCGATATACAACTTATTCAAACCAAACGGTTAGCTTTGTCGTTCATAATGCGTAAGAAAAGGAGTGAAATGATTTGAGACCTTTTCGATAGCTGTATTAAAAAGAGCTATCTGTGCCTTTATTCAATAGAGATCCACCCCGCCTTTGCACAAGTGATTTTTGGATCTTGACAACAAGCGCCACCTACCGGGTCCAAAGGTGAATCTATACCATCTAGGGATCTATTTACCATCTAAACTCCACACATAAAAAATTTCATTAAAATCGGTCGAGCCGTTTTTGAGTTTAAGCGTGACTAACGACCAACAATTCATTTTTATATACAATATGTAACAAATACCCTGTGTTTCCCTGATTTATTAATTTAATATTATTTGCAAATTGTATGTGGTTTTATTACTCTGCATTGCCCGGGGAGTAAAATGATTGTCCAGCACCTCGCTTTACCGATGCGCGTGTCATTTAGAGATAATAAAACAACATAAAATTTGCAAATAAAATTTTGTTTTAATTAAATAATTTAAAAAAAATTAATAGTTGAGTTTTTTGAAAAGAAGTTATTTCTATACGTTAGAATACTGATTCTGATAACGCCCTTAACGGGAACCACAGGGTTTTTGTTACATGTTATATGGTGTATAGAGTGGATGGTGGTGTATAGAGATTGGAACAAAAGACTCACTCAGAACTATTTTAAAGAAATGAACAATTTAACTGCAGCTTTTAACAAATCGAATGATGTCTACAACTTCGACACGCTTAAATTTTGGTCCTTTTTTATTGTAAGTATATTATTATGTCGGGTAGTAAAATAATAACATTTATATGTAGGCGATATAAATTTAAACTTGCTATATCAATGGAAAAGCTTCATAAATCTAGTAGTTCATCTTTAGGTTAAAGAAGGTATCACTATTCTATTTGTAACAAGATTGCCTGTGATACTAATATTTATATATTTTGATATTATTAATTACATATTTGCCTGTGCATAAATTCAAGGCGCATGTATCATCTTTAAGTTTCTATTTAAGGTAAATATTATTATAATTATAATTAGATGATTAGCTTCCTTAGACTATTTCCGACCTAAAATTGAAACTGTAGGGAAAAAATAGTTTACTTGTGAGTTTCTCATCGCTTTTTCTGACGACGACGTTATTGAATTTTTAAAAGTTCTTTGTTTGGATCAATTTTGAATAAAAATATTTTGACTTTGCCTTCTCCTACTCAATAGTTGCGTTATAGTACTCCAAACCTATAACGCATTTTAATGACTTGTTAATTTCCTAAAACTTCAAATTTAGATAAGCGATTTTGCTGTTTTTTTAAATCTCTACTTCCACAGTACATAAATTTTAGGCACGGTTTTAGATTTAAGAGTGTTAAAAAATCCCAGTACGGATTCCGTCAGAGTCGCTCAGCTGGTGATTTTCTGAGTTACCTAACTCATAAATGGGTGCAGGCAGTAGAATCTGAGGAGGACGTTGGCCGTTAGTTTAGACATAGCGAAGGCCTTTGATCGGGTTTGGCACAAAGCGCTTCATTCCTAGCTTCCTTCCTATGTGCCTCCCAAGAAATTGTACAATTGGATCACCAATTTTCTTGCAGATTGGAACATTAAGATCGTAGTAGACAGTGCATGTTTCGATTACAAGCCCATTAACGCTAGTGTTCCACAAAGCTGCGTGCTATCATCAACGCCGTTTCTTTTGCATATCAATGATATGTTGGAAAATGGTAACATTCATTGCCATGTGGACGGTAGCCCTGGGAATACACCGGCCATGCCAATACCAGAACGTTGCCAACTACCACAACAAACATGTGTCTGAAGTCGAGTCTTTGTTGAACAAAGTATCGCACTGAGTGTGACTAAATCTAGTTCACTTCAATTCCCAAAAGACACAAGTTTGCGCGTTTATCGCTAAAAAGCTCCGAGTCGACAAATCGAGTGATATGCAGTTTCACGGGCACTTGGAAAAGAAGGCCAAACTGGATGAGGGGTGAAGATTAAAATAGTTGTTGTCAAGATGCAGAAATCACCCGAGCGAAACCGGGGATGATAGGTAGTACTGAATAAAGTTATCATATCTAATCTATTCATAACAATACACGATTTCATAACTTACCGATTTATATTCAG